GCTACATAAGCTACTTTTGCCAAAATATACAGCGACGCATTCGGGGATGTGTCAATTCTAATTTTATTAACGTTTCCTGTTTAAATACAATTAGGCCCCATTTCGTGCCAAAGTCGGAGTGGCTTCACTGGAAAACTAAAGGTATCACAGCATTCACGCCTGAGCTAGGTTGTTCCTATGGTACCACTCTAGAGCGCGTGGTTCCAGCATCACGACTGGCAGCACTGAGTGAGACCTGGATAGCAATAATGCTAGGCCTCTATGGGTGATTTTACACTGGTCTGCAGCGAAGATTGACGGGTAATAAGAAACATATGCGCGCACACCGACGTCTCAAAGAGGGTAAGGGGGAGACATTTTCCCTCGGCGTTCTTTAAGGAGCGTTTACGAGCCCAAAAGTAATAAAAATCTAATTTATAGTTTTGAGCATAATTACATCTCACAAACGTGAAGGAAGTACTCGAATATTGTAGCTAGCTATTCGGCTGCCTGCATGCAAACATTTTAGCACAAACTGAAAAACCTTTCAAATTACCATCCTCGGGATGATATATCATCCTCTAGCGCATGGCTGGTTGCCTCCCTGAAATATAGTAGATTCCCTGTCTCATAGAATGTCAACCAAAATTTGGATATGCGTTTCCTTGGATGAATAATTTTATATATTAAAAATAGATGTATTGAAATATGTTTTACAAACAAGAATTAATTTGGCTAGGCTAGAGGTTGGAGGGAAAGTGTACTCGCCCGCTCCCACACCTGACTCTTGTTGAGAATGAATGGAAACTTTTGAGCAAAACGCAAATATGCTTTCAAGCTATTTTTATTAGAACTCATGATGTCCAGAGCCTTGCATATAACCCTTTTCTACAAGACCTTGACGATTACAGGTTACCCTTCTCCGGCGCGTAGCTGATTGATGCTTGGCACATAAAGTCCATTCCCTATCTCCTAAAATGTCAACCGAAAAGATCAGAAATAAGTTTTGAATTCGAAAACATGCTTAGGAGGGTTGTCAGACAACTTATCGTGTTGTCTAATGTCAAAATATTTCAGTCACACCCCGACGCTACACTTTGAATGACCTCCTTTCTGCCCACATGCAAAGGAAGTGGTCACTAATGTAATTTGCATTTCTCTCAGCGATTTTTATTTTCATGTAAATTCTATTTTTGTGTCGCAGACCATGCGCAAAATTACCCTTATTCTATGCATTTTGTAAAAAAATTGCGCGATTGATTTTTTTTCTTGTATAAAAATGTGTATTTCGGTCCCAAATGTTTCCAATTATAAATTATTTACAATTTTCATAGGAAGATGTCACGATGAATATTTGATCTACTCCTTAAAAAATAGAGAAATAA